CCGCCGAATGGCTCCCGCCAACTTCAGGGAACCAGCCGAGTCGGCGGCGGCGGAGGGCGCGGCCGAAGCCGTGGTGCAGGTCTGCGGAGGTAACGAGCGGTATGCGCGGGAGAAAAGCGTCAGGACATGACCATGGATTAGTATATTTAGATGCATCTGTACCGCATTTGGACTAACGAGGGATTGTTTCCACGACGCATGACCGGCACCTCTGGCCAACGCTCCGGATGCAGGGTCGGGTCAGGTCAGGTCAAGTCGGCCCCGCCGATCTGTCGACCGAGCGCAGACCGGAGAGACGGTGTCAGGCCGAGGCCAGATCAGCCCCACCGACCCGTCGGCCAAGCGTAGACCGGAGTCGGGGTCGGGCCGAGGTCAGGCCGGCCGGCGACGCCGCTCTCTCCGCTGCGGACGCCGCGCCGCGCGGACCGTATTAGCCGCCCGACCGTAACTCACCTGCGTCGCCTGAATGGAGGCATCAGTGCCACCGGCCGATAACGTTTGATGCATTGCAGTCGGCACAATCGTTGCGCGATTTATGCGTCACGACACAATGCTGGCCGGCTTATTTACGGCGGGCGGAGCGCGTGGCAGGTCGCCGCGCGAGCCGCGCCGGCCCGACGGCCAGCCGCGCCGCCATAATTTAATGATGATCTACGGCCGCCGGTAATTATATACTATAGATGTATTCAGTTCTCGGGGCGGTTTTTGCCATTATCGCGGCCGCCGCACACGGAGCGAGCTGGTGCTCGGAGCGGCCGCGAGCCTGCCGTACGGGGGTGGCTGGGACGGGCGGTGGACGCGCGAGGCTCGCTGCTCCGGCTGTCTGCCGCTGTGGGGAAATCGGCCGGTATGTGGTAAGCGCGGCCGCAGGCGGCACTCGATGCCTTCAGGTGGGCGTGATGATGATGTACTGCAGCTGTGAGAGGAATCGGCACGGTTGGGGAAAGTTCACACCGCGCCGTTACGGAGCTCCGTTGTGGCGGCAGTTGACCCTGGCGGCAAGTGCCGGTACTATGAGTATGGTGCGGCGGAGGGGCGGAGTGCTGGCGACGGAGGTGTCGAAGCTACGTCACGCCAAAGGCCGCCATCAGAGGCACTTCACCGTAGTTTGCATTAGCCTTTGCACCAGTTCTCTGGCAAATCGTCTGATATGTAATTGGTGTTGATATTCAAGTCGTGCAGTGTTTGAGCAGAGGCTATTTTGTACAACGTGTGTTACTCAGGCAATGCAAGGGCATGACTCCAGAAAAAGAAAGTATTAAAACGTTCCTATGAACAGGCCAAAAGCGACACCTATCAAAATGTCACACAGGTGTTATGGCGGAGAAAAGTATTGATAGTCCCATCTAGACAGAGTACCGGCTTAAAATAAGCCGAGTTCACGGAGCAGAATCACTGCCTCTCTGCATGGGAGCACCGTGAAAGGAAGAGCTCCCTCCTGTGACAATATCACCCTTGGCAATAGCCACACGTCCACTGCCCACCTCATGTATGCAGCCATAAATCCCTTGTAGCGTGGCAGCCGCATGTGATCTATCGGCGTCCAAGGAAAACTGTTTTCAGTATTCATTCCTGCGCTGTCTCTACTATTTATGACTTGTATTCATTTGGTTCCATTGAGAAAAAGATGGCGAGTAAATCACGGCGATAATGCCGGACGGCGGCGGTGTTGCCGTGTTTTCCGGGAGGGCCGGCCGGCCGGCGGCCACCTAGGTGGCGCCACCGGCTGGGAGCGGCCGGCAGCCGGCAGCCGGTCGTAGCCACGCCGAACCGGCCGCCTGACCGCCGTAACCCGTCCAGAGCAGAGCAGCCACGGCACACTGAAGAAACGAGACCATCCAGCCATTTGAGCTGCCAGCGGCGCTATCTGACGCCCACAACACGTCACCGGACTGATCGCCGACTCCTCACCCACTCCAACACGGACTGGTTCCTTGGGCGTTCGGAGGCTACGGCAATACGACACACGAGTGATTGGGACCACTTCACACATTTCAATTTTATAACGACGAAAAATTTAGCAATGGTAAGATCACAGGCCGGAATTTTAACGAAAAAGCGTATGATTTTGAGGACTACACCAAAGCTTAGTTTCATGAAGACCAAGAAACCCACGAAAACTAATACATAATGTAATAAATATGCTGACAAACAACCGAAGGGATTACTACTTGCTCACGTACGATTAAGAGCCTTACGTCAGACACTTAATAGGCACGTCGGTAACGCTGAAACACGAAATACAAAAAACGGCATGGACAGCACAGAGAGCATACTGGGGGCGTCATAACTGAAATACTTCATTTGCTTTCTTCTTGATATAGAGGGTTTTGCACACCACGGAAAAGGTTTGTACCACGGAACATTATCAAAGCTTCTGCTTACTTCAACGTGTTCCTAAAGCTAAGCATGAAATTATGCGAAGCAACATGACGGATCGCAAGATGTGGTGCAAGTTCCGACATATGCTTCAATCACGGAGTTTTGCGACTGTAGCCAAACAATGCATACCAAAGCAGCCGGAAGTCGCGGCTCAACCATACCATATGTGTATCCTACGCCTGCACGGCTGCTGTTGTTTAAGTCAGCGGCCACGATGCACAAAGACATAAGGTCCTTACCGCACGGATGTAGTGAGCGCCTGAATACGTTAAGCTGTCCTGTTAGTGCGAAGCATTGCAAACATTGACGATCACGCGTGACATTCTTTTTCAGTCATGTCGCGCGTCGACAGTTCAAAGTAACAAAATGATATATACATATGTATGTGTATACGTGTATATATATATATATATATATATATATATATATATATATATGTGTGTGTGTGTGTGTGTGTGTGTGTGTGTGTGTGTGTGTATGTGTGTGTGTGTATCACTGCTAACTAGATATCATTACCACGCGCCTGAAGGATATTTGCCGGAAATTCATTATCCCGTGTTCCAAGTCAGCGATCTGTGATAGCTCAGCCGTCTGATAGCATCGACCAACCCCCTTTACGTCTCAGGATTGCACATCAGTACTTTAACGTTAAGAGAGCCATATAAACGCATGGGAAATAATAACGGGCCTAGTGCTGAAATGTAAAATTTGGCAAAACAGCATGAACATCTGACAGATGAGCATTACTTTTTATGATTTTGCTAAGTTGCGTAATTCATTAAGCGGTATCTACAAGTCATTCATCGAGTATTTGCCAACTGCTGCAAGCTGAAGTGAGACATTCCGACCACGCAACACTCAAAACTTCCCAGGCAACCATACCAATGGTGGCTTATCAAAAGTCCTCCGCGTTAAAGCTGCGTAAGACTTGTCAATGCATGCAGAAACGCAACGAACGAGGGGGTCACGAAAAAGCTAAGTGTGAGGGGCGCTCATGGGTCGTGGAACGTGGGGGGAGGGGGGGGGGGGGCCACCGAGCCAAACGCATGTGCAGGCAAATCGCTGACAGGACACAGGGTCAGCACAAGACCCAGCTCCTTGCTGGGCTTTGTTTTCGGGTGGCAGCAACGATTCCACTGCTTCGTATGCCTGGTGTCTTAACTTATCACCTGGTCTTCCCCGCGGAGATGGCGAATAAGAGGGGGAGAGTCACAGTCCCGCGTTTGGGCAAAACTTAGCCCTGTTGCGTTGGAAACGGGAAAATGAGGTAATAAACACGTCGGTAAATTTATCACAGGATCCAGTACCGCTGCCCTCCCCACCTCGGGGAAGCTATTTCCAAGTGTTTCCATCAGGCGCGCCTACGCCATTTTTGCAAGGACCTCGACCTTGAAGGGACCCTGAAATTTGGACGTGAGTCCTTGTAAATGTCACCCCTCTAGCCCTCTAGCACTCAAGAGAAAGTATCAGTTACAGACGCTTATAATGCCCTCCTTGACTGTTATTACTGCTCCCCGTATAGGTTCTGAGCTGTAATGAATGTGAGATGAGGCGACCTTCCCGGCGCTCATTGCCATGTTTTCCCATGCCGGCCGTTTGGGTATTTGTTAAAGGAAGGACAATGGCCTGTGTGCGTCACTGGTCATTACCCCCGACAGGGCCCTACTAGTGGTTGTGATGCCTATCTGCATGACGTCGAGATGTGCTAGTGATACACGGTTCGCTAGTACAAATGTGCAGACGAGCATACTCCGTTTACGCAGGTTCCCGTTTTCTATGTCGAGAGCTCGGAATCGCTGGCTAACTGCCTTTATGTATTGAGAAGCGATAGCATTCAACCTGAGCATGCCAGTATTTATGCTGAGTTCGAAGTGGTTGGGGTCGTACAAAAATGCAGTTAACAGTCCTTAAACCAGCTGACTTCACCTTTGGCTTGCCTGCAAATGTTGTGGTTTGGGGCAATTGCAATTTGGAAAAGTTTCAACGCCAGTTAATCCAAAAACAAAGATAATATTTCCTATTGCACAAAGACGGGACTTTGGCGCGCGGCACGGAGTGCTCAGATAAGAATAAGTCACCGCAATGCTAGCACACAACAGCTCCATTGGTTCCCATAGAGGAAGGAGCAGCCAGCGTACTGAGGTACAACTTAGCAAAACTGTTCTGACGAAAAAGGGTTGGTAAGCGGGGATGGCAAATGTAACGATGCATGGAAATCAGTGACAGATGCCGCTTCTTTCTGCGTATGAGCCTGAAAAAACTAGACAGGCAAACCATAGATGAATGAAAGCTCACCCCTTACCGGCAAACGAAACTGCAAATTACAACCTTCTGAAGTCACCATGTTTAATCTTGCGGGACGGACACTATTTTCTTTCGTTCATCCATACCACTCCACAATGACCCAAGAGCCGATATTGCGGGCCAGACTCAGCTGTCCCTAGCGCGCTGGTTTCCACTGCGCAATGCAGAAGCGGTATCACGCTCCCGCTTCGCGGTACCGGCTGCTGGCTGATGCAATAGCTTTGCGAAGCCAGGGTCCACTCATGCGCAAAGCATAAGGATGCACAGACGTCCGTCCAGTCCACAGTCTGCGAGCGCATACGAGCAACACTCACCAGGCATGTCAATCAGCTTCTTGTAAACGTTCAAAAAGGCCGTCTCAGCTCCTTTGCTTCGATTGCAGAGGCTATCAACTTCCGACTGAAAGCTCTTCAGAAGCGGGGCGATCATCTTCCGAACGTCCTGAAACACGAGAAGAGCACGTGGCGGCGAGGCCCGCTTCTCCGAACCTGCCATCAAACGGCACATGTCGCAGCATTTCCAAATGCACAGATATCCCGCCGGCTCGCGCTCCGCGTCCTAAATCGGCCCTCTATCCGGGCGCTCATTGACAATGCCAGCCGTGTCTGCGGAAACGGCACACAACAATAACCGCCGCCGCCGTCTCAATGGGCGCATGTTAGGCAAACGGGCCGCGTCTTATCATACGAATGATTTATGCGCCGTTCCAGATGTGTCCAGAGATTCAAAAGACATCAACATAAAACCTTTCGAAACGATCTGTATGCAAATGGAACAAGTGACACTCGTGCGTGGGGCGGCGGCTAATGCGGCGACGGCGGCGACGGGGTCGGATCCCCAGGCGGTCGCGACCCGGCGTCGGCGACGACGGCGGCGGGACCTGCCGAGCACTTTTGCATAAGCGGCGGGGCCGTGCCACTGTTTACCGACTGGGCCGGCCGATTATAACAGCGGAAGTTGAGCGCGCCATGTTCGCCTGAATAGAAATGGGCAATTAGCGATGGCACAAATAGTGGAACTATCCGGGCGACGATACTGGAGAACGGGTTGTTTGGCTTCAAGTGCCGATTATTTAAATGGCCGCCATTAGGAAAATAGATGTTTGGTATTAGAAGATTTTTATTTCTGAGCAGGCGGGTTATTAGCTTGACAAATGGCGGCAGCCATTGGGCGCCGGCGGTTCCGGACGATTTCCTCGGCCCGCTGTGTGAAGCGCTCGATGAACATCTTGCACATCATGCCACATTAGCACTTGGCTCAACTCATTCACACAAAACTCGCCAGAGTTTTGGAGGATCTTTGTGCGCCGTGTACGTTGTTATTTTGTTGGGAGACGCTCAGAAAACGCTGCAGGAGAGTGCTTGTAACTCCATTCGTACCGAACTGCAGCTGCTTTAACGGGGCACTTGAATGCAAAGGAGCGTTATGAATAAATTTAAACAACATTTTGAACGCAACCCAAATGTCCAAAAAAACTCAAGCTACAATCAAACCGAGTGCGGTTGGAACCAGTGAATGTTGGTAACAGCTTGTTCCAGTTAGGAAGACATCAGCAACCGTAAATACTTGCCAGTAGCGATTGATACACTGATTATTCTCCCACGGCCGAATCCTTTCGGAAGTGTTTCCATTTGTTACTGGGGATATGTCAAAAACGACCCACGCATTTTGTTGCCTAGCTTTCACCGTCCGCATATCATGAGTTTTCGAAAAAAAAGCAAACACACGGTGGTAAGAGCCTGGATGGATGGTAGTGTGGCACTTTACCTTGTGAAGTATGCCGTCAGCACATTTTTTTCGACATGATGCATAAAATATAGTCCAGGTGCATATCATTTTCATATTGCTTCGTACTGTGTTCTGCTGCTGCTGTCCATTTCGCCAAATGCATCTTGCATATTTTGATGCGTATTGTGTGCATATTGCTTCGTACTATGTTTTGTTGCTGCTGTCCACTTCGCCGCGCCCCTTTCGAACTCCTTTTTGCCGTGCAAAGCCGCCCGAAAACGTTCTCTAAGCTTAAAGGAGAGATGCTATGTTTGTTTTCTCAAAGATACAGATCACGTCCTCCCTCCCGCTCTGCTCCCACGTCGTTATTGCAATACGGTTATACAGGTTTGACCAAATCCAAAATGGGCTCTCAAAAATTAGCGCAAGATGAATGGCGTCAACCCAAAACCCCCTCGAAGCCTGATAAAATTGTTCGCAGTAGTGTTCAGGCCATCGCACAGGAAACTCCCATCGAAAATGACCTCGTCCATGCGAACACGTCGGAAAATATTAAATGTCACACATTTGAAACGCACTGTCAACTATTAAAACGTCGCATGGGGAATGCTTAGAATACAAAAAATGTCTCCCAGTTGCTTAGAACTATGTTTAGTCAGGACCACTCTCGCTCAATATAAACAGATTGTTTCCTTACAGCGTCAATAGTCATTGATAACGTTGTTTCACCGGTATCTCCTGCTATGTTAAAAGTCTATCATTGTCAAAATAAAACTCTCAATTCAAGAGTACCGAGAATCAGGAGCTCAACATCTTCATTGCTTATCGCAAAACTCCTGCTTTCATAAGCGGCGCGCGATATGGCTTGAACCGGGGCCTCTCACCACTTTGACTTCTGGAGGGGTCCCAGCAGCGACCTGGGGTTCAACGTGATTATTCGAGAGCCGAATCGTTGGAGCGATCCGACCCTCACCGCCACCCATGCAGCCACGCAAGGCCCCAGAGGACAGCACGGGCCGCAGGTCATGTCTACTTGGCATATTACTCCCCGACATGGAGTCGTAACGGGTCGGCTCCTGCTGACCCCGGGGGCCCTGATGACTAGAAAGCGGGCATACGACATAGCATACAACCACACACGACCACCCGTTAGACCCTCACCGCCACCAATGCAGCCACGCAAAGCCCCAGAGGACAGCACGGGCTGCAGGCCATGCCTGCCTGGCATATTACCCCCAACATGGAGTCGTAACGGGTCGGCTTCTGCTGATTTTGGGGGTTCTGATGACTAGAAAACAGACATACGACATAGCATACAACCACATATGACCACCCGTTAGATCCTGTAGATCGCGATTCCACCAGATCCCCGGAGCCTAACCGTCTTTAAAACGGCCAGCGCACCATGCGGTCCTTCCATCTGGCATAATAACACGGCTGACAGCATACACCAGGTCACCACCGGGCGGACCCTGGTCCGATTCAGACCCCGGAGGCCCATAGCACCACGGCCTACCGGAGCCCAGCGCCGAGCCGGCGATGGCCGCCGACGTCAGCAGCGATTCCAAACATTTATTTCTATGCAAATTCCGCCTTTTATCTTCATTAGAAAACGTTAACGGCCCATACCGGCATGTCTTATCGTCGCCGACTGAGATATCGCCGGAGTAAATTCGGATAGTGTTCCTGGGATTCGGTCGGGCGGGCAGAGCTCACTGAAGCGGCCGTCCGACAGACATTTGTAAACCGTTTAAATCGAGCGAGATGAGCCCCGTGCTCACACAAGCGGAAATGAAAGAGGTGCAGTGTGTTTGGCATGCGTTTGACAGATGGCAGTCACCGCCGCTTGCTCGCACTGCCTCATATACGTCACTGATTAGAACGCATATTTAAATCCTGGCCATGTGTATGAAATGGGCTCTCGATCCTTTCTCATGTTATAAAAAATGGGGAGCATAGGCAAGGAAAGTTGAACCAACGCAGCTTTACAAAGCGAAAATGATAGGAAACATCATGACTGACTCACAGTAGATCTAGAGTGGCTGGTCGCAAAACCAGTGCAAGTGAATGTCACTTTCACAAAAGTGAATAGGTAGGGCTGCAGCAAACTCGTGTACACTGATGCGGTATATACCAAACCAAAAAAAAGAAACCCACAAAGTTACCTCTCTTCAGTTGAGTTTCTGGGTGGGTGAGACTCGGATTATTTTTCCAAACCAATTATAAAAAACTCATGACTTAATTGCGATAGGAAGATGCTTGAAAGCATTCTAATGTTCAGCAAGGACCTGAGGTCTATACAAGACAACTGACATATCGCACAACTTTCACGTAACGCCCGAAAAGAAATGTGTCGGGCTAATTTAAACGGGCGCAAGCATATTGCAATGCTTGGACAGTAAGACACGGTGCATCGCGGTTTTTCTTCTTGTTTTGTTCTTTTCTTTTTGCTTTCACCAACACTGTACCTTAGAACTGCTTTTAGCACGACATCCGCTTGGCGAAAAGTGGGAACCTTACCGACAACCTTGCACCGCCAGGTTTTAGGGTCTGCACGCCATTGGGATCTACGAAGCACTCAACTGCTCGGGCTACATGGCGTCGCCTGCCCCCCAACCTGGCAGGAAGGGCGAGCACCGCGGGGAGTCGAATCCCGTGCTTCTGGTCTCCCAGACGCGCTGTGTTAAACGCAGTCGGGTTAACCATTACACTATCGGCACCCCAAAAAGGGGCCTTTTAGGACCAGACAGAATGCTAATGCTGCCAGTGAATGAAATGACACAAACCACGCCGTTAGCCTTGTTTTGTGTCTCTGCTTCACAATCGTCGCATCGTATGACCAGAAAGGAAACCACGAACGGGGCAATTATTCCGTATTCCCAAATGCATGCATAAACACTGCGAGCGTTATCTGGCGGGCCGCTCGCCGAATTTCGGACGTCTTCTGTATGCTAATGTGATAACTAAATACACAGCCTCGGAACCGGTAATGCCAAGAATAAGTAGAATTCAAATTCCCTGCATCCTATGAATATTCAAGAAGATTGAAGACATTTAGGAAAATTGATTACCAGCTACGTTTGAAACCATTCGAGAATGGCCGACGAGGGGAGGGAGGGTAGCACAGAAAAAGACCGCGGGAGAATGGGACAATACGCCGTGGCAACTGTGGCAATACGCCGACCCGTAACTGTCACCACAACTATTTATGCATAACAACAGAGTCGTCCCTTGCGCGACAACGACGAAACGTCCTGCGAGTGATTTATACGCTGCATGATATTTCAACTCAGACCGATGCCAAGGCGATAGAATAAGAATTCGGGAGAGCAAGAGTGCAACCAGTTGAAAGCCACAAGAAGTGGAACTCAGCCAGGTAAGAAAATTTGTATTTTACTAAAAACGATCGCAACAGCATCGCTTTCCCTATTAACATAAAGCCTGGCTGGAAAATCCTCTAATGCATCGAAACGATTAAGAACATAGGCTTCAACGTAAGTAAAGATCAAGTCCAACGTCATTAAGCTACGGATCGATGGCAACGGTAACAACAGCCTGGGGTTCGATTCCCACCGAAGGATACTTTCACCGGTCCCAGTTTCACCAGACGCGGTGACGCCAGTGGCCTACGTAGCAGCAGTGTTAAAAGGCATGCTCAAATAAGGATGCTCATATATAAATAGTGTCTGGCTCGCCGCCCACACCTGGCAATATTGCCTTTGTTGAAAGGATTGCCAGCGTCAGGACGGTGACAATCCGTATACGCGCGTAATACCCATATACTACAAAAATATGTTCCTAATTCGCAAAATACTAACACGCATGTGTTGTGCGAAGAGAGAACGAAAAGACATATGAGCCATTGTGAAAAAGGCGTGCACAAGGTACATCGGCAGGTGATAACGAATAAATTACCGTGTTAAAAGCATTGTAGTTAAGCCCCGTTCGCACCAGAGCTAGTATGATGCGAGAAAACACTGAGACCCATCAAAAGACCCCCACCTGCATTCCGTTACACAGAGGCACAAGTCTTTCGGGTTCCTAGAACACATGATGCCATGCGCCAAACGCATGCCAGTTGAATGAGATCGTGTATCACTCTTAATCAGTGCGTAAAACAGTAACTTATGCTTACGCCCTTTAAAAATACAGTAAATCGCACAACGTCCAGCAAATTCCATCAACATGTCCTTCATGATTACAAGATGAAAACATATTCTGCTGGGTCTTTAAATGTTAAACGAATTAGCGAGGTGATTTGACGGTGGTGCATTACTCACCTTATAAACCTATGGTGTGATGTTACATTACGTTTTGCTTTGTTCACAGTAATTTCAAGTAACCTGATTCTGAACATCACGTTCGGTGTACAGTATGTTCATGATTTGACTGAAATCACATGAAGATATCTTGCGTTGAAAATTTGCATTGACTTGGTCTTCTCACCACAGAAAAAAATCCTGAACATTTCAGCCATGCCCAAGCGGTCATGCCTGTATCTTTAATAGTCATAAGTCACGTGTAGTAAAGCCGCATCGATGGCCGACCCGAGATCTAGCGCACTAAGCAGAGCACGGGAGCACCGCTTACCTCGGGTGTGTTCTTTCTGAAGTCTCGGGTGAGTTCCACGAGCGCCCGCCGAGAGACTTCGCTCTCGTCCTGGCGGGTAGCGATCTGAGCAGCCACGTCATCCAGCTCACTCTGAAACAGAGACAGAGACGTCGGACTCAGTTCGCAGGGATCCCCGGCGGCAATCCGAGCAGCCACGTCATCCAGCTCACCCTGAAACAAAGAGAGAGACGTCGGACTCAGTTCGCATGGATCCCCGGCGGTAATCCGAGCAGCCACGTCATCCAGCTCACCCTGAAACAAAGAGAGAGACGTCGGACTCAGTTCGCAGAGATTGCCGGCGGCAATCTGAGCACCCACGTCATCCAATTCAGTCCGAGAGACATGGTGCTCACATAAGCCAGACCACCTCGTGACGATTCGAGAAGCCGCATCATTCAGCTCACTGAAGCAGAGACGTGACGTTCAGATCGTCACGACGCCGACGCTGACAACAGATGGACGAGCGCGTGCCGGACACAGGCATGCGGGGATTCCTGTGGCGCTGGTACGGTTTGCCAGCGCTGTCATTAGGGCTTTACGACGCACTCGGCAGTTGAGATTGCATGGCGTCGCTTGCACCTCACACCGACTGGCAGGAAGGGTGGGCGCCGCGGGGTATCGAATCCCCAACCTCTGGCTACCCAGACGCGCAGCTTAATCACCGCGCTATGGAAACGCGGATTTCACATGCCTAGTTTTACCTTTCCTTATCATCACACCAAAAGCAATAACTGAATGTGAGTGACTGGCACGGTTCGTCACTGAGATGAACCGTGCCAGTTGTGGGGTGCGTGATAGACGACGAAACCGCAGTCGGTCCTTAGACCAACGATTCATGACAAGGCAAGATGTGTCCAAACGTACACAGCTTACGAAGCGTGCGCGAAAGCTGCTGGACAGCTGATGCGGAATTAGGGACCGTGAACAAAGCTGAACAAATCTCAAGCACCTCTGGGCACTGGGTTGTGGTATTTACTGTTTCAAAACGTCGATTGTTGACCTGGTCATCACAGGAGCAAGCGGCCGCGGCATAAAGTCATAGGTGGCATACGGGCATTGATATAGGCCAGTCAGAGCTAGATATGGCTGTCTGTACCAAGTTCACAAGACGCACACTGTGCCTTTTGCGAATGTTCCGCAAAGCGCCGCAGTGTTTTTGTTCTATTTGAGAAGCATAACCATTCGTCGCCTGCGCGCAAAATCGGCACATCCAACCGCCGTTGGCGATGCGCCAACAACAAACCTCTCAACTATGAACAAAAAGCGCCACCCTGGTTCAAGCCCCCGTCACCTCACAACAGCATGCCACCGTCCCCGCCCCCCCCCCCCCCCCCCTCCCTTCTCCCCCCTAAAGCGGTGAGCTGGACGTGAGAACGCTTCGTTACGTTGAACGGCGTGTCGTGCGTGCGCGTGGCTCCAGGGCGGGTCCCGGTGCCGTGCGGCGGCCCGGCGGCTCGACTAATGTCAGGGCATTGGGCGCCTGACGTCGATCCGGCTCCGGATCCGGCTGCGCACCGGACCACGTCCGGGTCGCCCGCCGGCCGGAGACGAGCCTCACTCCGGTCTGGGCGCGCCACATCCTTCGGGGAAGTCAGGTTGTGCCATCTTGCAAAGCGCGCAACTGTTGTCACTGTTCGCGGCCCGGTCTCGCGTGTGGCTGTCACAACAGGGCTTGCGAAAAAGCACGCAAAGTACGGGGTTCGAACTCGGGACCTTTGATCAGGTGCAGTCAAACGCAGCGCTCTTGATCGCGCATCTCCGTCAGTTGTTCAGTCTCGGGCTGGGGCCAGGCGCGGCCGCCTCTCAGACCATAGGCAAGGACATGTGGCACTGGAACTAGAGTAACCTGTGCTTGATTCCGGATGCCTGCATTAGAAACCGTCCAACTTGCGGGCCAACGGGAGCCAAGGACTCAGGCCCTTCGACCTAAACTGGATGACAGGTGGCAGTCATTCGGTCATGATACAATGAAGTTCACCTCCGCATAACGAGGCGTAACCTTGAGCTTATCTTTAGCCCTCAACGGATGGGCGTTTCTTCCCATTTCTAACTGAAGATGGGACTTCACAGAAGGCTCAGCCACCTCCAAAACTAAAGGCCCTACAGCAAAGCGGAAAACGGCATCGGACAGCTTGCACTAAGCTGCACTGCGACAGTGGCATTGCACAGCAGTGCCAATGACCATTTATGGGCCAAACCAGCGGAACATGCATTTTGAGCAAACCCCGGTACCCTTTCTAACTTAAGAACTACGAAGATTATGACGGTCATCTACCCGTATTCTCGTGCATGGCCCGTACATGGTCATCTCGTCTGATAATCTGGCCTTGGATGACCCATCATGCTTGCATCTTTTGGAATTGCACCACCAAGTAGCATGAATATATGCAGTAGACGACAGAAGACAAGCCTCTCGGAACGAACTTTTTACAACAAAGGTACATTACCGGGTGCTTGGACAGCAAACGTGACCTACATGCTCTCGACGGAGGGGTCATCGCTCGTGACCAATATTATGTTATGAACTTCAAACTTTCACAGAGCGCGTAAAACCTTACGCCAATTATGCCAATAATTCAAAGTCCTGCGTTAGGCGGTTCGTAAGTCACCTCCGACAAAATTCTGCCGCTGCTGGGGTCACCTCCGACAAACCTCTGCCGCTGCTGGGGTCACCTCTGCCCATAACAGCAGAAACACCAGCGCATGCTTACAGAGCAATGGCACGTGGGCTACATACTCAAAAAGGTACGATCTCTAAAGTCGACGCTGTTAATATAGAAGTCAAGCCCCTGGTTCAACTCTGTACCTGATCTCCCGTTTCAAGTAAAGTTCCGAGGAGACCGCCCTCGCGTTACGCACCTGCTCACTCAAAGCCCAACTTTCGCTGGTCTCGAGCCGAGGTCATCAGTGAGAGGGCGCTGCCCACACCGGATTCCGACACGTGCCTCCACCCCGCCCGCCGGGCTATAACCGTCCCGAGCCCAACCCCCGCCTGACACGGCGCTGGCCGCCCCAAACCCCGACCCTGTCCAGTCCGCCCAGTGCCCCGCCTCGAGCCCAGTTCGAGCTCTGAAGGAACGCTGTCCATCTGGAGCTCATCTCGCCGGCCCGGGCTGACCGGCCGGCGGTGACCGGCCGTGTAATTACCGGTTCGTCGCGTCGCCGGCGGCGCGGCGTCGGCCCGAGCCCGCGCGCTCGACGCCCGACGCCTGCGTCCCCGTCGGCCCGCCGCCGACCGTAATAACACGGTAAAGGGATCGACTCGAGATTGCTCTCCTCCTTTGATGTTTTTTAATGTTTACATCAGCGTCGGCCGGGTTACATCAAGGCTAATCAGTCGAAATTGGAAGGGCGGGCGCTGTTTTCGCCGGTATCGGTGTTTTCCACTGCGGCTGGGCGGACGGGGCACGACCGAGAGGGCTTTTACTGGTGATGTTGAGTGTTTTCGCGCGCAACCACAATACCACTCAGCCCTTCACAAAATATTACGAACGCCTTGTTGATGAGACCCCGGTATCATTTTACATCACATCAAGCGTGCATAACATCTCTCCCCACTGCAGCCCGAGCTTGTCATCGCGCCAAACATCCGCGCGAGGCGCCGCGGCCAACTCGGCGCGCCAAACCGGTGGTACACTTTTTCCAGTCATTAACTATGGCCAAAGACAATGGCCGGCGTCGGCAGCGCCTCAAATGGAGTGCGAGGCTCGCTCCTGGCCGGTTCCAAACCCACCGCGCTAATCCGGCCGCTGATATACAAACAGCGGGCGATGCCGCGCCGGCCGGGTGCCAGCGGCAGGCCGACGACTCAGGGCAGGCCGGCGGCATTACGGCGGCTGTAATAAAATGCAAAGCGAGAAGACGAGGATACTTGATACGGCAGACGGGCGCCGGCGAAACATCTCTGCGGTGAGTTTAGAGTGACAATGCAGATGGCAACGACACGGCGCGCGTCCGTTCAGCTCGAGAATAAGCTGGCGATGTAGGTCGTGAGAGGACGAAAGGACACATGAAAATATCCACGATGCCAGAAAGGAAAACGGGAAAATGTGAATTATTTGAAACGCTGCCTTTCCGTCACATAATAACTCAACAAAGCCCCCCCCCCCAAAAAAAAAATCAACAAGAAAGAGAGCAGTCGAAAAATTGGTGGTGTTTGCCATACCTCATTATCAGCCATATTTGCCGAAACAAAAGTGCGGGTTTTTTCAGGGCGCTGCTGTCAAGAGCATGTAAGTTTTACGATGCCAAGGCCGTTCCAACGCCACCTCTCCCTCTCCCCAAACCTGTCGCCAGCACCGACCGGCCCGATCCGACAGCGCCGCTCCCGGCCGCGCCGGCAGTCTCGCCGGCCCTGGTGACCTCAACATGGCCCCGGCAGCCATCTCGGCGACCCGGGCGGCCGCCGACCGCCATGGCCGACCGACCTGAGCCGACGCGTCGGCGCCGTCCTGACGCACGCCAATAAAACGGTGGCCGCCCGCCGTGAATCGGCGATAGCTCGCCGACCGGTCCGCTGCGGCCGTTCCGCGCGGTGACCGCCGCCGGCGCGCGGCGCGCGTAAATCACGCAAAACACGCCGCGGGCTATCCGTCGGGTCACGCGGCCGTGCCGGCCGGCCGGTGGTCGCCGCCGGGGGCGGGCGCGGCGCAGGCCGCGCCCGCCCGGCCACCGGAACGGTCGCTGCTTTATGTGCCGCATCAGGCGGCGGCCGGAATCTGTTCCGCAGGCAACGATCCCGCAAATTGCCCGTTCGTCGTGGGGCGACGGGCTCGCGGCCGGCCGCACGCAGGGTGACGCGTCATCGACGTGAGCGATGGCAGACGCGCCGATGGCCGATGGCCGGCGGCCGGCCGCACGCACGGTGACGTGTCATCGACGTGAGAGATGGCAGACGCCGCGCGCCGATGGCCCATGGCCGGCGGACGCGGTGCGGCCGCGGACGTGCCACTGTCCGGAGCTGCTGCTCCCGCTGTTCATCGAGTGGGCGCTGGTCGGCATGTGGACGTCTGTCGCGGTGGTCGCACCAGCGCATGTACGCGCGTGCTGGCGCCTAAACGGTGGGGCGGGGGAGCAAAGTTGAAAAACTG